AAAAAAGCACTTCAAGTGTCTAAAGTGGATAAACTAAGAAGTAGACTACCTGTTAAAAAAAAGAAAGAACAAGCAATTTACAGACTTACACAGAGTCAATAAACACAAAACTATGCTCATTTGCATGAATAATCCAAGAAACAGTAATTAAGAATGAGATTTTTTATTTCTCAAAGTGGTAGATAAAGGGACTTGTTATGAGAGTTTGGTGATGGTGGGGATGGAAATATATGTAACTTTTTTTTCAAAGATTTATTATTATTATTTATGCATATAAGAACTGGGGAGTAGGCCAGAGGAGCAGGGGGTAAGAGGATTCACCAGAGACAAAGTGGGGAGCAGAACAGACAGATCTACTGAAACACACTGCTGAGGGGAGAAGAGGGCAGCAGCAGGTGAGACAGGAGAGGTCTGCTGTGTCTTATGGGTCAGCTCCCTGGCTGGGGATCAAACTCAGGAGGCAGTGGCTGGTGATAGCTTCATAGTGCAGAGACTTAACCCCTTGCACCACCAGGGAGGCCCTATGTAACATTTTTTGAAGCACAATTAGGCAAAAAATTATTACTCTGCATGTGTACTTTTCAGGGATTTGTTCTTCTGAAGTCCATAAGAATATACATCCAACTCTATAAGAAAATATGCAGCATTTGTTCTAATAGAAAATTGTTGAAAACATCCACAGGTTCACCCATAGGTGTTAAATGATTTCCTCCCAAAACATAAGTTCAGATCCTAAACTTTAGGACCTGTGAATGGGCCCGTATTTGCAATTAGGGTCTTTGCAGATATAATTAGATAAGATGAGGTCATACTGGATTAGGGTGGACCCTAAATCCTATGACTGGTGTCCTTATTAGAAGAGGGGAAGAAAGACTCACACTCAGGGAAGATGTCATGTGACTAGAAGGCAGAGATTGGAGTGATGTAGCTACAAGCCAAGGAATGCTTGGAGTCACCAGAAGCTGGAGGAGGTAGGAAAGGATTCCTCTCTAGAGACTTTTCTGGGATCACAACTCTGTTGACATTGATTTTGGACATCTGTCATCCAGGACTATAAGAGAATGACTTTCTGTTGTTTTAACCTACTCAGTTTGTCATAATTTGTTATGGAAACCCCAGGAAATTAATAGGGATTGGATCAATAAATAGTGATACATACAGATGACTGGGGGTGGGTGTACAGTCTCTCAATCTATTCCTTATTGTGTTTTGGTTTTTGAACTATGTGATTAGAATTCATTTTATAAAAATAATGAAACATTTAGGGCCTTCCAGGTGGCACAGAGGTTGAGCCCTGGGCTGCGAAGCTGCCCGCAGCCTCTGCAGTGCCGGTTCGATCCCGGGCCACCAGTGAGGGTCCCATATGGTGTGGCATACCTCTCCTGCCGCCCGCTGCTCCCCTCAGTAGTGTACTTCATCGGTCTGCCTGTTCTGCTCCCTGCTCTGGCTCTGGTGAATTCTCTCACCCTCCCGTGCTTCTACTGTACCCAGTGCTTGCATAATAAATAAATAAATCTTAAAAAAGAGTAACATTTAAACAAACAATAAAATATCATTCTATTTCTCACCTTATAACCTAGTTGACTGTGTTTTATATATTGCACCCTAAAGGAAAAAGAATAGAGGATGACTATATTAATTATTTTTCACAAAATTTTGAATTGGAAAGATCCAAGAAATCGCCGAGTATAGTAGATAGAATAATGGCTTTCAAAGATGTCTATATCCCAACCCCCAGAATCTGTGAATATGTTAGGTTACCTGGCAAAGGGGAATAAGGGTACTAGATGGAATTTAGTTTGTTAATCGGTTGACCTTAAAATAAAGAGATGATCCTGGATTGGACTGATCAAAGTACACAAAAATCATTCAAAGTGAGAAAGGGTAGCAGAATAGTCATTTTCAGAATAATGTGATGTGGGAAAGACTCAATAGGTCATGTCTGACTTTGCTTTGAAGATAGAGAAGGTGGCTATAAGGCAAGAAATGCAGGCTGCCTCCAGATACAGGATGAGGCCAGGCAACAGACGCACTCCAAACGACCCCCCCAAAAGAGTATGGATCTGCCAATACCTTGATTTTTGCTCAGTGTAAACTCTATCAGACTTCTGACCTCTAGAAATGTAAGGGAAGAAATTTGTATTGTTTTCAGCCATATATATAGTAAATTGTATATGGTAAGTATATGGTAAATTGTTACAGCAGCAGGAGGAAACTCATTCATCTTGTCAGTACCTTATTTTGCAGAGGAAGATACCAAGAGCCAAGAATACCTGAGAAAAGAATCAACACTGACCCCGGATCTAGTCTCTTGGTTCATGACAGTGTTTTCTTTGCACTATAAAAAGTATACACGAGGGCCTCCCTGGTGGCACAAGGAGTTAAGCACTGCACCATAAAGCAATCTGCAGCCTCTGCAGCACAAGTTCAATCCCCGGTCGGCCAGGGAGCAACCCACATGGCGAGGCAGACCTCTCCTGTCTTGCCCCTGCTGCTCCTCTCAGCAGTGTATTTCAGTCAGTCTGCCTGTTCTGTTCCCCACTCTGTCTCTGGTGAATCCTCTCACCCCCTACACCTCTGGCCTATACCCAAGCTCTTGTATGCATAAATAAATCTTTAAAAAAAAGTGTACACTATTAAAATAATTAGGGGGCAGGAATACTTTCACCTCAAACACATTGTCATAATCTAAACTCCTTGGGACATTTAAAATATGATTTGCTCTTTGAAAAACTAAGCTTGTTGAAAACATAGGTGATACATTCTTGGACATCGACCATCAGCAAGGAAAACAAAAGCAAAAATAAACAAATGGGAACATTAATCTCAAAAGCTTTTGTACACTGAAAGAAAACACCAGAAAAACAGAAAGGCAACAAACTGACTGGGTGGAAATATTTGCATATCATATATCCAACAAGGGGCTAATACCCAAACTATATGAAGAACTCATACAGTTCAACAACAAAAAAACAAGCAACCCAATTAAAAAATAGGCAGAAGATCTGAACAGACACTTCTCCAAAGTAGACATCCAGATGGTCAAAAGGCACATGAAAAAAGGCCCAACCTCATTTATTATTAGGGAAGCACAACTCAAAACCACAATGAAATACCACTTCACATCTGCAAGAATGGCCCTTGTCACAAAGACCAACAACAATTGCTAGCAAGGGTGTGGAGCAGAAGTAACCCTCATACACTGTTGGTGGGAATGTAGAGTATTCCGGCCCCTATGGAAAGCAGCATGGAGATTTCTCAAACTATTAAAAATAGATCTTCCATACGATCCAGCAATTCCACTCCTAGGTATCTATCCAAATAATGCAAAAACACGAATTCAAAGAGGACATATACACCCCTATGTTCATTGCATACTATTTCCAACAGCCCGAGTTGTTGCTATGGAAACAACATAAATGTCCAATGACACATGAGTGGATTAGAAAGATGTGGTTTAGACCCTCAATAAGAGATGACTCAGCTACGAAAAAAAAGTGAACTCTTACCTTTCAAGACAATACAGATGGAACTCGAGGTGGTTATGCTAACTGAAATATTTCAGAAGGAAAAAAACAAACACAGTGTGGTTTCAGATGTGAAATATAAATAAACACAGAGAAGAACTAGCACAAATAACTCAGACTGCTGGGGGAAATATGGTGTTGACTAAAGGGAAAGAGGACAGGAATGGAAGGAAGAGAAGAGGGGGTCAATTTGGGGTGGGAAGGGCACCAGGACTTTGGGGGTCAGTGTGGTGAGGCTTAGACACAATGAGGTGTGGAGCTATACCTCTGAAATACATACAATATCGTAAGCCAGTAAAAATTTTATTTTAAAAATTCAGCTTAGTCACATTTCTGGAACTTGTCTCATCTTAAAGACAAAAACCAACAGTGACATTCCACACTCATTCTCAAACAAACTTGCTAAGAACCACTTTTTCACCCAGCTGAACTGGTTTGACCTGTCTTGGTAAAACTGGACCCGATTTCTCACTTGAAGCCAATTCAGAGTTTTTATTCCCATGCAATTGAAGAGTTTCACGAGAAGAAAAACATTTCGTGGCATTCCCAGTACAATGAGCGCAGATGTAACACAGCAGTTATAAATTTAAATACCGGTTCACTGTCAAAAGTAATAAAAAGATCACTTCTATAATTAATGTGATTCTGAACCCTGTTCTATAAGGTACTAAAAGGTTAACTCAAAACACATGCAGTCAGAAGCTGTAAGGAGGAATGAGACCCAGATCAAATGCCATGTGAAGGGAAGTTACTGTTATTTTTAGTAATAGAAAATCAAACATACCCCAAAGGCCTGGGGACTTAATGTTTTGTCTGAATCATGACACATGGGAATTTGATGATATTTATTTTCTTTACTTAATATGAAAAAGCAGAACAACGAAGCAAGAACAATGATATCATTTCAGTCTTTAAAACAAATTCCATGGTGGGGTGGATTGAAAGCATGTTGGCCTGGATTTAAAAAACTGGATTCCAATCTGGGTGTTGGGATTTCTGGGCTGTGATTACCTCTCTGAATCTTAATTCCTCATTTGTAAAGTGAGGATCACGATATCTGCCTGGCCTCCTAGTAGGTGCTTGTGAGTACAGAGTGAAAGTAAGGGGTGTGACAGCAATTCAGAGACTCGACTCTCGGCGCCACGGAAAAGCAGCTAGGAGTAGGCACGATATGATGCCCTCATAGCATGAAGCTCCTCTCCTCTCTGGCAACGGAAAAGTACAGTTCTAGGACAGAGCAAGTGGTTTCTTGTTCATGTTCATAACCATGTCAGTGCTTTGTACCAGAAATCATCCTAAAACGGGCACTGGCCTGCTTTGCCAGTGATAAATTGGGGCTCTTAATCTATGACCATGAACTTTCCTCTTAATCTACTGCCTTGAACATGCCTGAGCTTTCCTCTTTGGGAGGACCTCCCTGCCCCTTCCTTTGTGTATAGGAGGATGCCGTGGCCCGTGAGTGGTGAAACCTACCTCGCAGTGGCTTAACCAACGAAGGGATCATGATCTCTCAGAAGAGATGCAGAAGGATGTGCCAGTGCAATGTGCTGGAAACTGATGTCTTCCAGCTTGGCCATGATATTTGCAAGACGTTTGCCCTTGGATATCCAGGAGAGGAAGCCACGCCAGTACTTCTCCCTGAAAATCTTTTTAAAAGAAAAGGAACATTTTTCAGAAGTCTCCAAATGATTTCCCCTTCGTGTCTTGCTCATCAGAGCTGGCTGGGTCTCAGGTTCACCTCTAAACTCCTCTCTGGTGAGCAGGACACTGTCCCCCTAGTCAGTCTGGACAATCAGGAGTTCCTCCAGTCAATCCCAGGGGGACAAAAGCTGAGTCCCACGAGTTTGGCAGGAGAGGAAGGGGGTTGTTGGTCGGGCGATCAATACAGCTGGAATTGAAAATAATCTAACATTTAAATTCAGTTCTCTGATGACAACTGTTGCCTTAAGGACTGTTACTGGGCCTTCCTGGCAGCCTAGGAGTTAAGTCTCAGCACTATCACCACTACAGTGTGAGTTCGATGCCCGGCCAGGGAGCTGACCCACTTGGCACAGCAGACCTCTCCTGTCTCACCCACTGCTCCGCTTAGCAGTGCATTTCGATGTATCTACCTGTTCTCCTCCTCACTCAGTCTCTGGTGAATCCACTCACCCCTGCACCTCTGACCTACACCCCAGTTCTTCTATGCAAAAAAAAAAAAAAAAAAAAGAAACACTACTATCCATTATTACCTTTCTTTTTAAAATTAAATTTTTATTGACGTAACATTGCATTAGAACATCGTAAGTTTCAGGTGTTCATCACTGAGAATCAACATGTGACTTTATTAAAAGTTCACCACTAAGAGTCCAAATCACACCCTTGTTCACTTTGTCCCGACTCACCCACTCTTCTCCTCTTTCCTTCTGGTAACCACGCACTGGTCTACAGACCAAAAATTTATTTTTGTTTTATTTAGCCTATCTGTTTGTTTTCTCTACATACCACATGAGAGAAATCATGTATTGCTTGACTTTCTCTTATTTCACTAAGCACTTAATTCCTTCTAGGTTCATTCTTGTTGTCACAACTGGCAGCGTTTATTACTTTTCTTATCGTAGATATCTGAAAAATCACAACTTAACTGTGCCTACAACGAGACCACTGACCTTTTCCGTCAAAGGTGCTCTGTCCACTGTCACCCTGACCATCATAGTTAATAACCTCATGCATTGGAACAAAACCCCAGAATCATCCTGGATCCCTCAAATCTTGTACACAACATCCTCACTGTCAGCAAATGCTACTGATGTTGCCTTCAAAACATACCCAACTTGGGGCCCAGGAAGCAAAGCGTAGCAGGGATTTGGGGGAGATTGTACCTAAAACCCAACCATGCTCCAGCAGCAGAAGGCAGGGGGCTTTGGAGCAGCACACTGGGCATGGAACCAGGTGTCCTCACAATGGGCAGTGGCAGAGGTGAAACTTCTTTGGGTGAGAGTAAGAAGCCGGGGCAGAAGAGGAAGAAGCACGCCACATGAGGCGGCAGCTGACATTCTGGTTTGTGGGCACATGTGGCTGTTACTTTGGGTATGCCCAGAAACAGCTAAGGACTCGGGGGAGGGCTAATTTCCAATCCAGCTGGTGGAGTCTTGTGTTTAAAGGAACATGCAAACGTCCTTGATTTTATGGCTACAGGCTGGTCAGGCTCTTGGGGGCTATAGTGGATAACTTCAAATACATATGATGTGGATACTGTTTGGACAATATTAAACAACTGTATTTTTGTTTCCTGCTTAAATCACATTCCCTGCAAGGTTGAGCCAGGGCCTTTTTTGTCCCAGGAAAAGGAGAGTCTGTTCACCCTTACAACAAGTAAGTAATTGCTGTGAGTTCCAAAGATAATTATCCTGAGGACATAGCAGGGGATGACCAGATATCTTAGTTTGCTTAGGGCAGTCCCACCTACACTTGTGGCCTTGGGACTATTATTAATATCAATCCATTTTTCATCAAAGGTGATCTAGTTTGTACAATAAATAGCATCACCCCACCTTAGAAGATAATAGGTTGAAACCACATCTAAGAGAATAAATAACCACTATCTCACACCATATACGTAAATTATTTAAAAAATAGATCAAAGATTTGGATATAAGGCTAGACACCATAAAATGCATAGAAGACAACAAAGGAAAAACAGTCCGTAATGCTGCCTTTAGGAATGTCTCTGGTGACTGACTTTGATGGCAAGGGAAACAAAAGCAAAAATAAACACATATATCAAATCAAAAGGCTTCTGCACAGCAAAAGAAGTCACCATTAAAACAAAAGGACGACCTACTGAATGCAAGAAAATTTTTGCACATTATCCATCTGACAAGAATTTGAATATCCAAATTCTACAAAGAATCCAACAGAAAGAAAACAAAGAATCCAATAAAAAAATGGGCAGATGAACTAGACAGACACTTGTCCAAAAAAGACATTCAGGTGACCAATGGGCACGAGAAAAAATATTCATCATCACTTATCAGAGAAATGCAAATTAAAGCCACAATGAGACACCACCTCACACTTGTGAGACGGTTCATATCAAAAAGACCACAAACAACAAGCGCTGGTGACAGAAACAGCAAGCACTGTTAGGGGACGGTAGACCGGTCAGTGGAAAAACACTATGGAGATTTCTCAAAATATTAAAAATAGATCTTCCATATTGTTATAGAGCAGCCCCGATACAAAATGGGTTGCCTGACTGTGTGTCCTCACCTGCGCGCTTAAAAAGGACTTATCAATCCAATGTTCTATTGCAGGCACACGCGAAAGGTTCATAAAAGGTTTATTGACAAGGGAAGGGGAAATGAGGAAATGTACAGCTCAGGGAGAAAAGTGGGAGACAAAGTTTTAAATGAGTCCTACCCGATCCACCGAGCAGGAATCCCAAATAGCACTCAGAGCTGGCTGCCAGCCAGGAGCCGTGAAGCCAGGAGGCGAGCGACAGTGAGCCAGCCCAAGGCCCACGTGTTTGGTTTTTATACCCAACCTGGCTGCTTAACTCCACCCTCAGGTCCCAGCCACCTTCCCTTTGGTGGTGATGGAATTTGTCTTTCCCAATGTCTTGATGGCTTTAGTCTGGAGTGGGGGTGGGGTCCACAAAGCCTGTGTGGGATTAGCTCAGGACATCATTTCCCCCTAACAATGATCCAGCAATTCCACTTCTAGATATCTACCCAAAGAACACAAAAGCATTAATTCAAAGGGACAAATGCACTCCTATGTGCACCACAGCACTATTGCAACAGTCAAGTTATGGAAACAACCCAAGCACCCAAAGACAGATGAGTGGATTAGGAAGATGTGGTGTGTGTGTGTCTACATGTACAGCGTGAAGAGCATCGTGTATACACACACGATGGAATACTGCTCGGCTATTTTAAAAAGAGGATGAAGGGGAGAGTCTTCCAAAACAACTTAGATGGGGTCTGAGTAAGTATGATAAGCAGAAATAAGTCAGAAGGAGAAAGGCGATTTTGGACAATTTTTCAGATGATTTGACTTGCGTGGAATATGAAAAAGAAAGCAAAGGAACAGGAAAAAAAAAAACCATTTAACCCGTGAAATCTGAATGCAGCAATGAGGCTCCCAGAGGAGAGGAGGGAAGGGTGGGGAGAATGGAGCAGAGGGGGGAGGGCCCGGTGGACTGTGGTGCAGGATGGACGGGACTTCGCTGGCGGGCGCTGTGTGACAACATTCGCTGGGAGAGCTGGGACCCTGTGCACCGGAAATAGTGTTGTAAATCAAGTTACCTCAATAAACACAATTCAGAGGTGGAGAGTGGGGAGGAGAGAGAAGGTGACAGTGAATCCTTGTTACAAGATTATAAAATTTTATTATAAATCAGGGGTAGCAAGAGATCAGGGCAGTAGGCAGATCTGCGGTTCTTCAAATGTGGTTAGTGGACCAGCTTCTCCTGGGAACTTGCTAGAATGCACAATCCTCAGGTTCCAGCCTTGTTGGGGTCACCCTGGGGATGGTGCTGAGTCATCTGTGCTCTAACAAGCCTCCAGTGGGTTCAGACACTGCTGAAGTTTTAACTCTCCAAGGTGGAGAAAGTGAAATGCCTTTTCCTAAATAATGTGGCAAGAGCAGGAAAAGGAGAGAGGTTTAGAGGAAGTGAGTGGGGTGAGCCTGGGGGTCCTCACTTACCCTCTGTGAGCTTTGAGAGTTGAGGTAGAAACTTCTAGACAGCGATGGAAGAACTTGTGAACTTGAGGATCCAGAGACATGTGTTCAATAGGAGGTGGAGGGATGGGCCAGACTCTGAGAGGCACCCTCTGAAGACACTTCAACAGGGGAGGGGGCAACAGGGCAGTAGGGTGTGGCAGAGGTACCAGGGGAAGGCAGCGTGAAGAGCATCATGTAGCATGTGTCTAGCACAAAGGCACCTCCAGGTCACTGTGGGCCCATTTGTTGGGATGTGAGAGTCGAGTTGACTGGTGGATCAGCTAGAAACTGGGGCCAATGCAAAGAGGTGGGATTTGGTGATGAGAGAGAGATGACAGTGGTGGGACTAGTCACACTATAGCTGTCACAGGTCCAGAACTAACTGGGCCAAAAAAAAAAAAAACCCCACCAAAAATAGAATTAACTGGGCCACCTGCTCTACAGCAGAAGCCAACCAGGGCCCCAAGGACACCACCTGGAAAGGAAGTGCCCTCTCCATGGACACCTGACCTCTGTCCTCCAGATGCAGGGGGTCCGTCTCCAAGTGGGAGAGCAGGTAAGGCAGCATTTGTGCAGGAGACAGAAAGTTGTCCACAGTCTGAGGAAGGGTCTCTGGGAGAATGAACATCCTGGTCTGGAAGGGTCTGGCATTTCTGATAAAATGATGGTGGGGTTTCTCACAGACTGATGTGCTGAAGCATCCCCAGACCTGCCCTGTCTTTTTGATGCTGATGGGGAATGAGATGGGGTCAGAACAGATACTTTTACATGACTGGTTTCTCTTGAACCCTGTGTTAACAAAACTATCAAGTCACCTTTACTTCTAGCAAAAGTTTCTACCACAAAAACATTTCTCACTGGCTTGAGTAGGTGCCATCTTCCTGGGAGCAAGTCTGAAACGAAATGTTAGGTGTGCTCACCCTGAATTCCTATCTGAGGAGGTGTCTCTCATCTACGGGAGCTGGAGTGCCCCGAAGCAGGGGTCTGCAGAGCGGTTGCACTCATGAGGGCTCATTAAATGTCAGTTCTGCAGCTGCGATCCAGGTCTAAAGGATCACAAATGTGAGGGGTAGGGGAGTGGACAAGGGTGTTCTGGCTCAGCCAAGCAGAAAGTCAGCACATTCTCTCCCTAGAAAGCACCCTGAACTGGGCGAGATTTACCAGAACAACCATTTCTGTGCTCTGGAAATCAACCAAACCATGTGAAATTGTGAGAAGTGCTTGTGCTTGAAAACTGCCGAGTTTTGGGTGAGAAGAGGGAGACATCTTTGTGGAGGACTCCTCCCTGCCCTCCTGCCCAGTGGGTGTGGAGGCTCTGCCAGGGCGGGGCCCGAAGATATCTTCCTGGTGAAGGGAATTCACAGTGGTGACAGCAATGCCCAGTGGCATTGTCAGTGGAGGTGATGGTAGTCTTGCCTTTCAAAAGATACTACAAGAAGTTCTTCAGACTGAAAGGAAGCAACATCAGATGGCAACTTGAATTCAAAGGACAAAGCAAAAAGCACTGGAAATGGGTTTATATAATAAAATATACTTGCATCTTATTATATATTAATATATGTTAATATAATATGTGGGTTAACATAAATTACTCTACAAATACATTTCCCTCCTTTCTTTCCTTAACTTCTCTTGAAAAGACAAAAGATTATGTAAAGCAAAAATTATAAGCCCGCACTGTAGAGTTTATACCATATATAAATGTTAACACATATGATAATAAAAACACATAGGAGATGGGAGAAATTTGAACTATATTGAAGCAAAGTCTCTGTAATTTACCAGAATTAAATTAGTATTAATCTCAACTAATTTTGAAAAGGTGTTATCATCTATATAGCAACCACTAATAAAACACATGTAAAAACAGTAAAAAAAAAATTAACAGGAATTGAAAAGATATTTTAAAAATATTTATGTAACACGGAAGAAAACAGTCAAAGAGAAATAGAGAAATAAGGCAGATGGAAGACAGATAGGAAGTAAACAGCAAATGACAAATGTAAATCTAAACATGATGTTGAATGTGAAAAGTCTAAATATCCCAATTAAAGAGTAGAGATATTATGATTGGATGAAAACAGCAAAATCCAAAGAGACACACTCATATTCAGATACACAAATAGACTGAAAGTGAATAGATGGAAAAAGACATACTACACAAAAAGTATCCAAAAGAGAGTTGGACTGGCTATAAGCATGGCAGCTAAAATAGCCTTTAAGAGATTTTACTACAGCCAAAGACAGTGTTTCATAATGACAATACAATGATATACATCAGGAATGCACAACAATTATAAATATACATACATCTGATAATGGAGCCTCAACAGTATAAAATAAACCTGAGGGACTGACAGAATTAAGGGACAGTTGGCGTGGTTGGAGTTCAAGAGTCGGGGATTTCAACACCCCACTCTCAATAACTGATGGAAAATTAGATAGAAAAGCAGCGAAGATAAAAAGGACTTAAAACAAACACTATTAGTTGGATCAAGAAGATGTATATCCACACTACGGATACTATTCAGCCCTAAGGAAAAATGAAATGTTGCCATTTACAGCAAAATGGAGCAGTAGAGAGAACTGTGTGTAATGAGGCAAGTCAGAATGACAAAGACAAATATTGGATATTTATACAGCAGATAATTCAATAAAGTGAAACACTTATAAAAACGTGGGCCATCATAAAGGGAGTGATTTTCTGAGGCTAAGAGGGCAGACGAGGGTGAAAGGATCAAAGGGGTGTAGGGGTTGGAGGTGAGAGAAAAAAAACAAAGACACATCAATTTATGCAACCTAACTCATAGAATGAGTTAGTGATATATTCTACATTCAGGAGGGATTTTTTACAGGCATGCAAAGTTTCACCAACAACTGCAGACTTCACATTCATGTGAAGTGAATGTGGAATATTCTCTAGATTAGATCAGATGCTATATCAAAAAATAAGTCTCAATACAATTAAAAAGAATGAAATCATACAATCATCTTTATTGAATTCACCACAGAATTAAGTTAGAAATCAAAAACAGAAAGAAATTTGGGAAATCCCCAAATATTTTATTTTTTAAGATTTATTTATTTATGCATACAAGAACTGGGATGCAAGTCAGAGGTGCGGGGGAGTGAGAGGATTCACCAGAAACAGAGCGGGGGGGACAGAACAGGCAGACTGACCGAAATACACTGCTGAGGGGAGCAGTGGGGGAGACAGGAGAGGTCTGCCGTGCCATGTGGGCAGTTACCTGGCCGGGGATGGAACTCGTGTTGCAGTAGCTGCAGATTGTCTCACAGTGCTGACACTTAATCCTTTGCACCACCATGGAGGCCCCTCCCCAAATATTTTAAGGTTAAGCATTACACTTACTATAGCCATTAGGTCAAAAAGGAGATCATGGGAGAAATTAAAGGATATTTTGAATGAAATTAAAATGAAAATGCAGCATATCATGTTATGGATGCAGCTTATGAAGGGTTTGGAAGGAAATGTAATTATTCATGTGCACCAGAAAAGGAGAAAGGGGGCTCCCTGGTGGCGCAAGGGGTTAAGCACCACACTATGAATTAATCCGCAGCTTCTACAGCACGAGTTCGATCCCTGGCTGGCCAGAGAGCTACCCACATGGCGCAGCGGACCTCTCCTGTCTTGCCTGCTGCTCCCCTCAGCAGTGTGTTTCAGTCAGTCTGCCTGTTCTGTTCCCCACTCTGTCTCTGGTGAATCCTCTCATCCCCCACACCTCTGGCCTGTACCCCAGCTCTTGTGTGCATAAATAAATAGATCTTGAAAAAAAGAAAAAGAAAAAGAGAAAGGTCTCAGATCAATAAACAAAGCATCCACTTCCAAGAAATTAAGAAAAGCACAATAAATGAAAAGTGAGCAGAAGGAAAAATGTGATGAAGATTAGATTAGGAATGGAAGAACTATAAAATACAAAAACAATAGGAAAATCAGTGAGACTGAAAGTTAATTCTTTGGAAAAGGTGACCAAAATTTTAGCAACTACAAAGCTAAATTCATCAAGAAAATAAGAGCAACACACAAATGACCAAATTTAGGGATGAAAGAGGCAACACTACTACCAATCCTACAGGAATTAAAAGCTTTATCAGGAAACACTATGGACAACCAATCCCAACATATTAGACAATTTAGTTCAAATGGATCAATTCCATGAAAGATATAAATTAAATAAAAAATTAAAATAAAGATATAAATTCTATGAGAGACATCAATTACCAAAACTGATTCAAGAAAAAATAGAAAATCTGAATAGATTAGTGATAATAAATTGAATTAGTAATGAGCAATCTTCGCACAAAGAAAATTCTAGGCTAGATGGTTTCACTGGTGAGCTCTATTGAACCTTTAAAGAGGAATAATGTTTATCCTTCACAAACTCTTTCAGAAAGTAGAGGAAATGCTTCCCAATTTATTCAATGAGACCAGTATTCACCTTCCATCAAATGAAAACATCTCAAGAAAATAAAATTATAGAACAATATCCTCTAACCAAATCTTAAGAAGCCAGGTTTAACATCCTACAAAAGAACATATACTACATCCAGGCGGGATTTATGACAGGAACGCAAGGCTTATAAACATCACAATGCAGTGTGCTAGGCTACAGCGATAGAACAAAGGACAAGAACCACGAGCTCATCTCAGTGGGGTAGAAGTGGAACTGTGCACCAGCGAGACATGGAGCCCATGTTCTTAGCAGTATTGCTCATTCAGAACCGGAAATCAGGGCCCCCACGCCACCCCACCCCACCCCACCCCACCACACACACACACACACACACACACACACACACACAGAGTGGCTCTCATGACAGATGTTTGTTGCCTGGAGGCTGGAAGTCTGAGAGAACAAGGTGCTGGCAGGGTTGGTTCCTCCTGAGAGTGGCAGGGGACACCTTGTTCCAGCCCCACCCTTAGCCTCTCGGATGTGACAGCTGTCGTTGATGGTCCTTGGAGACCCATCACGCTGCTCTCTGCCTTCACCTTCACCTGGCCTTATCCTGTGCGTGTGTGTCCAGGTTTCCTCTTTGGGTAAGGACAGGAGCCATAGTGGTTGAGGGGCCCAGCCTAATCCAGGATGACCTCAGCTTAACGAATTACGGTTGTAAAACCTCACTTCCAACCAGGTCGCATTCCCAGGAACTGGGGTTTCGGACTTGAACATATGCATTGTAGATGGAACACTCTTCAAGCCATAGCGGATTCAAATGTCCATGAACCTGTGAGTGGAAAAACAATTTGTGGTCTATCCATGCAGCAAATGATTAGTTAGGCAGCAGAAGGAACTGAGCGAGACACGCCACACGAGGATTCAGCTCAAAAATGTCTGCTGAGTGAGAGAATCTAGATGTCAGAGACCTGCAGGTAGGACAAGTACTCAGGTAAGCAGCCCAAACCAACTAGAGCTTCCATCAGTGAGAAGATGCTGAAGAAGCACATTCGTGGACAAAGAAGCAGGTCTATGGCTGCTGAGGGTTTGGGACGGGAAAAGGGATTAAGCAAAAACCAGCCTGAGGAAATCTGTTAGGCAGGGGGAAATGTTCTAAAATTGCATTTGGGGAATGGATGCCAGGTATGTAGATTAAAAAAAACTCCAACATGTACAATCACAACGGGTGAATTTTATAATACTTACACTCCATGCGCGTAGAGGGGGTTCTGAAAAACAGAAACAAACTCTGGGCGTTGGACTGGCAGCTGGTGTTTTGACAGGCCTAGGTGATGCTATCTAAAGTTCATCTGAGTTACATTTAGAGCAGCTGACTCACAGACCTCGGCAAACATTAGTATCAACTAGATCAGAAAATGGTGCTATCCCCTAAAGGAGATACAGCGCTATCTCTTCTTTACAAATCTCAATGGCATGTATGTTAAGTTTGACACTAGGAACCCACACTTCAAAGTGACCTTGACATTCACTGGACATATCCAGCTTGGCTCCTCGAAGGTTCCCCAGCATCCCAGATACACCCTGTCTGGAGCTGCACCCTTTATCCCTCCACTTGCTTCCCATGATAAATGGCACCACCATGCACCCAGTCCCCCAAGCCCGAAACCTGGGAGCTACCTCTGCTGTCCTCTCTCACCCCACGTGTCTAGTTAGTGCCTAGTGCCTAGTCTTGGGGGTTTCATTTCCACCATCTCTCCCTGTTCCAGTCGCAGCCTTAGGCCAGCTCCTATCACATCTCCCGGCAGTCTCTCTGCCTTGGCTCTCAGCCCAAGACCACCCCACGTGCTGGGCTATTCTGCCACCTGAACATCTTGCTGCCACTCCCTCTGCAACTCTCCTGGCACTTCTCATCTCTATTGGAGACACTGCTTTTGACCACACGGAACAGAAACCTGGTTGGTACTTGTCTAGCCAAATAAAGACTATGTGTTTCACATGATCAAAGTACTCAGGAAAGCAGCCCAAACCCAGAGGAAACCATTGTTAGTTTCTTGTCTCCCTTACAGCAATATAAAGTGCATTTCTAGTTTAAACATATACATTTGGAGATTAAAAAGAATTCCCCAACTAGTTCTAACATCCAGCCTGCGTTGATAACCATGCCAATAGCCACTGGTGCCTTTGATGAGAGCTGAGTCCAGAGAGAATTGCCAGAGAGTACAGTGGGCCAGGGAGCCAGCGCCCGGGCAGGCCCTGCTGACAGTTTAGGACACAGACGATTGCCAGATTAAGCACTGGCCTAACCCTCCGCTACAGTGTGTACGTCTCTCATCCCAGGTCGTTCATTCCCGCTTCCTCACAATCTAATTTTTACACTTTTCCAACTTTCAATGATGACTCAGATACATTATGTTTCTAAGTTCTAATAAATCTTCTTATGGTGCCTGCCGACAAGAGCTTCCGGTTCTTGTGATTCACCAACCCGAAATACCTGCAGGTAGGACACGCTAATACCACTGTTAACCTGTCTAAGTTGCTTCCAAGTCATTACTGTATTTGTTTCTTAGCTTTTAAAAAAAGACTTTCTTTGTACTTTGCTTCGATTTCCCCGGATTCGGGTATTTTCTACAATTCACACAAAATGTGATTTTAAAATGAGTCCTGAGAAAGAGGACAAGAACAGAGATGCAAGCCTGAATCTCCTAGCTCGCCCTTAACTAAGAGGCCCCCAAACACTGATTTTCATTCTCTGGAACCTCAGTGACAACTGCAAGCAGCGTAGACCTGGGTACAGAGCCCAATCTGACCTGGAGACTCTTACCCCACCTGTCCCCCATTCTCTATAAAATCAGATGCATTCCATGTCAGATTCCATCCATTTTGGGGCTCAAGACAATGCAAGCTACTTTAGGTTTCTCCTGACTTCTTGGAGATAATGACTCTCAAAGGGATCAGCTTAGTAAGACAGTGAAGTTTTCAAAATGACATACCCACATCTTCCATTCTCCTGAAGTTTGCAACACATGCCTAGATTAGAGTTGAAACTGTGACTAGATTATGGGGCAGGAGTACCCCAAGATCACAGACGCTGAAGGTCGAAGTGAACAGGCCTTCCCTATTTACTCCCCCACCTTGTGGGGTGGGTAGCAGGAACACAAATGGAGGCCCCTCACACCACAGGACAAATAATTAACTGCTATATATATGAAGATAAGCCGGTGAGAGCAAATATATCTTATCCCGCTGGATTAACAACTATGTCTGCACAAGACCTGGAAGGCAGATTCACAGTTGGACTTTTTGGACTTCCTTGAGCTGGGTGGGTAGTAAAAAGGCAGTCGAATGAGATCCAGTGCCCGTCCCTGGTCTTTCCTCCTTCCCCCACCCTTGGCTCCATGCAGAGTGGAGCAGGGCTGTGGGCAGGTGTGTCTCCAGGCTGGCACAGCCCTCTGTTAACCCATCCAGGCCCTGGACATTGGCTTCAGGGCTATTGGATCCTGGGTACTCAGGCGTGTTCCAGAGAAGGGAGTCTCAATGGAGGGCAGTTTTAGCCCCCAGGGAACACTTGGTAGTATCTGTAGACATTTTGGCTGTCTTGGCTTGGGGGGATGAAGGTTAGGGGATAGGAGCTGGGGATGCTACCAAACTCCCTACAATGCACAGCCCCCCAAACCAAGAATTAGCCAGCCCCCAATGTCAGTAGTATGAGGTAGAGTCATCCAGCCTTAGGTGGACACACACTGTTGGGGTCTCCTATTTAAATTCTTTAACCCTGTTCCAGAAGGAGGAGGGGTAAGGTTCAGGATGGCAGCTCCTTCTCGGTTCCACAGACTGTTGCCTCCATGTGACATGTGGCTCCAGCAGGGACAGCTCGGGGCCCTCTAAAGTGAGGGTGGCCTTCCCCCACCCTCCGAGGCCCCAAGAAGTGCCTACACACAGCCTTCCTGGATGAGCTGGAGACCCAGCTCCTTGTGCACTTGGAAGCTGCTGGACTCAACCAGGACAACCTGCAGACCACCTGCCAGCCAGGCTTCACGTGGAACCCAGGGCCTGCTGGGCCTGTTCAGTTCCTGGGTGACAGTGCCCCACAGGAGCCTGCCAGCAGCCAGGATTCTTTCCAGGACCCCTTCAGGTCTGTCAAGGTTGGGGAAGTCCCTGGTGCACACAAATGGGTGGATGCAGGGGGTGTGGGAGAGGAGGAGAGAGGGAGGGAGAGAATTGCAGGGGAGGACACCCATTCTCTGGGGTACAGACTACAGACCCCATCATCTCCCTGCTGATGAGCTCTGAGAGCCCCAGAGTCAAGAACCCCACTGTCTCTTAGAGACCCCAGGAGAAGAGTCAGCCCTCGCCTTCCTCCCAGTGTATGGCTGCTTGCAGGCTGGTCAGCAGCAGGACAGCCAGTGGGCTTCACGGCCATACTTGCACTGACCAGTGAAATGGGTGTCTTAGAATTTTATTTTGGATTTTTATGGGTGTCTTTCCCTCTTGTGTAGAGATGGACAGGCAGATCCAAAAAGCAGAGCTCCATAAAGGGCAGAGTGCATGCCAACAAAAATGTGGGACCCAAGGCCAGAAACCGGCTGGCCAGGTGTGAGGATGGTTTAAGAATGAACCTCAGGGGTCTTTAATCCTGCAGGGTATTAAGCCTTTCCTCCTCCCAAACAAGAAGCCGTTTGTCTGAATATCTCAAGTGACCAACTCCCTGTCCCGGGGCGGCTCTTTGGATCTCTGGGCGGCTTGGTCTGCAAGTTCTCACGGTGAACCGAAATTTAACCCTCACTTCCTGGAACCCAGAGAAACTCTGGCCTTGGGCAAAGGTCCTTTGGCTGCTTCTTGCACATTTATGCAACTGCCTAGCATGGCAATAACTGCAATGAGCAAAATTTCAAATATGTAAATTTTCTAGAGGGTGACAGAAAATGTCTCTCTGACAGAGAGACACTAGAGTCCCAGGGTCTAAATCAATGAAGTAAATCGTAGCCCCATGTGGCCTGAGCAGCCTCCATTCTTGTTTCACATCAGCCTTGGATCAGGCCTCACTATTTTGCAGGCCTCACACTCAATCCTCTCTACTGAGCAGTGGAGGGAAGTTGAAAGAGGTCTTGGGGAGAAGGAGCTTTAAACCCCACAATGTGAATGAATCAGAGCAGGGGGAGGTCACCTCCCCTTTAGGTCTGTCCCTTCTTGGCCTCTTCCAGTCTCCCGGTCTTCAAGTCAGCACACATTCTTCACCTCTGCTTTTGAGTCTAATAGCTCCAGCTTTTGCCCCCAACACACATACTTCATTCACAGAACAGGAAAATCTCCCACAAGTCAGAGGTTTCTCAAGGGGCTGCCAGACCAGCATCATTGCCACTTGGGAACAATTTAGAAATGCAAATTCTGCCCCCCCTCCTCCAGTAGACCCACTGAGTCAGAAATACAGCCATCCCTGTTTTTAAATGCCCGCTGGCAAGCTTAATGCACACTTCCAGTTTAAGTTAACCTCACCTCTTCCTCCTAAGACAGTTCCACCACTTCAGCTGTTACTCAGTTGTGGGGTGTGTGCGTGTGTGTGTGTGTGTGTGTGTGTGAAAAAATACTCTTTTCCCTTCTGTGCCCCTACACCCTCCCCCTGCTGTCCCTCAATGTCTATTAAACTATCGAATATTTCTCCAACAAAAGTGTGTGTGTGTAGGATTCTCATTCTAAGCCATATTGATTGTGGCAGATAAATACATGTTCACTAGGAAAAACAATTCTAAGAGAACATGTCCTAATAGTCCCCTGTACATCTTTTTAGACAATTTGAGCACGCAAATAAAGATATGTTTATATTTAAAAAAAAACTACAATGTAGATTCTACTGCTGTTCATTTCATTAAATGTTCTTGAGCTACTTTCCTAGGAGGGTATAGGGTTATCACAAAGCACGTCCCCACGCTCTCCTTCTCCTGGAGTGTTGGGGCATCAGAATTACTCAAGACAGGACTATTTGCCAATTGCTGCAATTCAATCAGCCGAGGTCCTGGTGTTTTTTTGGATAGTGGAATTGCCGACCAGGGACTATTTGAAAAGAACACAGAATTCTGCTAACCACACAGGTGACTCTATGTACAAAGAACCAAAAAAAAAAAAAAAAAAAAAAAAAGTCGCAGGGAGGAAAAAGTGAAGGTGGGGACTAAGACGGACCGTCTTCCCACAGCCTTGGAAACCCAAAAAACAGCAGCGCAAGATGAAAGCCACCAAGGCCCCGGCCCGCTGCTGACCCACCAAGGAGACAGTTACAAGAAGAGTCAGTTATATCTCAAGACAAATCCAGCCAGGTACGCCACGTCTACCTCATTTTCCTAATTTCGCGCGCCGCCACCCGCGGGTCACACCCTTCGGCCGGGCCCGGCCTCTCTTCCGCCTCCCACCTCGCGGCGCGCTTTATCCGCGCGATGCGCCGGGCGCCGGCGACGCGCAGCTCAAGGGTCCCCACGCGGCCCCTGAGCCCCGCCCCCGCCCGAGCCCCGCCCCCGGCCCCGCCCTCCCCCGGCGCCCGAGGCCCGGTGCGGACCCCACCGCCGCGGAGCGCGCGGGCGGTGATTGGCCGAGCCCAGTATGGGCGGGGCGAGACTTCGGGCTATAAAAGGCCCGTAGCGGGGTCGCCGAGGCTTGCGTCGGCGTTTCCTGCCACCGAGTCCGTCGTCCCCGGCCGGAGCGGCGCGCGCCCCCGCGAGTCATGGCGACCAAGGCCGTGTGCGTGTTGAAGGGCGACGGCCCGGTCAAGGGCACCATCCACTTCGAGCAGAAGGCAAGGGCTGGGGCGGGACGGCGGCGCGCGCCCGCCCGCGGCGGCCGGGCCTGCGCCTCGGGCCTCGGGCCGCCCCCGGCACGCCCCCGCCGCTCAGCCCGGAGTTCAGCCCGGGGCCGGCCCGCCCCCCCTCCCCCCTCCCCCCGCCCCCCGCCCCCCGCACGCGCGCGGCCGCGAAGCGCTGAGTCACCGGGCGGGCCCCGCGGGGCGGCCGGGCGGGCAGGGCCGGGCGCCCGGGGCGGGCTGGGCCCGGGCGCGAGAGGCCGGCGGCCGCCCTGGGGCCTCGGCGCGGGCTCGGCGCCTCGGAGGTGGCCGGCGCCCCTGCGCGGGGCTGGCGGGAGCCCCGGCCGGCCCGAGTGGCGCAGCCCGCGGGGCGACCCGGGTGGCGGGGCCGCCGGCGCCGTCGCGTCCTGCAGCGCTGGGCTGTGCGAGCGGGGCCCGCAGCCCTCAGGCACCCGGGCTCCGCGTCCGGCTGCCGCTCCACCTTCCGTTTGTCCATGTTTCTGGGTAAAGGATCGCAGACCGCCCGTGGCCCTTTGCAGGAGCGTTCGCCGCCCCTGGCTCGGGGCCACGGTCAGGTTGCAAGAGGTGATGGCCTTGGGCACACAAAGCTCCGAAAGCCAGAGCTAACCGACCTCTTGTTAGGAGGGTGTGCAAAGCAGCGGTTTTTTAAATTTTGCACTCGTTTCCAGTTTCTGAAAGTCAGAAATTTTCATCCCTACGTCCAGGTTCCTGGCTCCCCGGACTGTTCGCAGAGCTGCTCCTCCTGAGTCTTCATTAGCCATGGCCACACTGTGCTGCGCGCTCGAAGATTCTTTGGGAGCTTTAAAAATAAATACAGATCTCTAGCTCCAGACCAGTCCTATCAGGGTGCATCCTGAGCGAGCCCGTGTTCGGGTGTCTGCAGTGTTCCTACAGCGCCCCGAGAGCTGACGACAGCATGTGGAGGGTAGCAGGTTGGAGTTTGCTATTTGGAAGTTAGGAGACCCCCAGTGTTTCCTTTGCGTAAAGTGGTCATTTAACTCTCTTCTTAGCGCATTCCTGTACAGGAATTCTCCATAAAGTGGCTTAGACTCGCTCCTCCAATAGGCCTTGTTAGTGAGATGGTCAAAGACATACCTTGTAAAAATATATGCAGAAATACTCGTCGTTAATGCTGCAGAACGTATGTTTTGCAAGGAAGGTGTTTGTAATAAAACTGTCCTCAAGTCTTTGTGAGGTGGCCAACTGGTGGCTGTTGATGGTGTGCTTCAGGGAGCCCTTTCCTCTGGCTGGAGAAGCACGCTGGCTTCCAGAGACCAGGCTCTGAACCAGACTGCCCTGAATGCCCTCTTAGTGCCAAGCTTCATTTTGTTGGTGCTCTTTGGACCCGATGAAGACCTTTTGGAAGCGCAGCTTTACAGCTCTTCAGGGATCAGACATTAAGTTGGCAATAAACTGTATTGGGCCTATTGAGCATTTAAAATTTCGGGTTAGTTTCCAACTTTTTTTTTTTTTTAAGGATAGAGCCTTATTTATTTATTTATTTTTAAAAGATTTTTATTTATTTATTTATTTATACAAGCACTGGACATAGTCAGACGTGCGGGAGGGTGAGAGAATTCGCCAGAGCGGGGAGCAGAGCAGGCAGAAGGACCGAAGTACACTGCTGAGGGGAGCAGCGGGCGGCAGGAGAGGTCTGCGCGCCATGTGGGACCCTCTTCCTGTGGCTGGGGAGCAGCCGGGGATTGAACCGGCGCCGCAGAGGCCGCGGGCAGCTTCGCAACCCAGTGCTCAACCGCTGCGCCACCGGGGGAGGCCCTAGTTTCCAACTTTTAAAAGTGGGCCATTTCTCCAAACTCCTAGCTTCTCTTACAATATTTGGAAATATGACCATAGTGAGCCTCAATCAGCCCCCAGACAGCGCAGTACTGGACCATGCCTGTCCCAAGCCTGTGAGGTGACAGCCTGCCTGGTGGGGTGGCCCGGCAGCCGCTGTTGGATTGCTTGTCTGCTCTGTGCATTACCCTTTAGGTGGAGGCCAGGAAGAATCTGCCTTTTTTCTTTGCTCTTGACAACACTGTGTGTTTGGGGGATAATGTTATGTTTGAGCTTTTCCAAAATTAAAGGTTATATTTGGAAGAATCATGATATATATTTCTCAAACAAAATAAAGGGCAACAATGGAACTGTGATAATTATCTGTCCAAGGGAAAGTCTTATCTTCCTGGCTAACACCTCATGTAACTGTTTGCACTTAAAAACAAGCTATTGATAAAATCAGAGGCACGGTCTCTGCATCACAATGTGGTGTGGGCGCGTCTGTTTTATTTTAGCTCCTGAAATCTCCTTGTAGCAGCGATGGCTTCCGCAGGGAGCCATGCAGTACCATTACCCCTCACCGTTGCTAGAACGTCTGTGATTTATTTCACCTGCTTTAAGATTTTTATCATCCTTACTAGATTACTTAAAAAGACTCCAGAAATAGTGCTTCTGGTTAGGCTAGACTCAGCCCCCAGGACCGTGGAATAGGATATTTTCTGACTATGCATCAAAAATATCTGTCCTGGAAACTGATAGAACACCCTCCTACTGGAGAGTTGGGAATTAGGGTGCGTTTTTCTTTGCATTCTTTCTGTATGTTTGCTATGTGGAAGAGTGTTTGCAGGAAGAAAACGAGGTGCTGAGAAGTGTTTTGTGCTAGCGTCTAGTTAAAAAGCTGCCGTTGCACACTCATTGCGAGGGAGTCAGTCCCTGGGAAGGCGCACACCCGCCTGCGCCGTTCTGTCTCTGTGCGGTTCTGTCTCACTGGGGCCAGGGTGCAGGGCTCCCGGGCTTGCGTGTGGATCAAATCGCCCTGTCCCTTGGGGCGCAGGCCGCCTGCTGGAGGTTCGCTCGCCCGAAGTGGCCCACCTGGGATTTGGACACAGACATTCTGACTACCAAGTCCATGTTCTTCCACTTGCTGGAGAAGGGTAAAGATAATCCTACTCTTTGCTTTATTCAGAAGCTCTTGCGTGCTCAAACTTCTCACACTTTTCTTTGAATAAAGGCGAACATGGTGGAGGTGTCGGGATCCATTACAGGACTGACCGAGGGCGAGCACGGATTCCACGTCCATCAGTTTGGAGATAACACGCAAGGTGGGTGTCATGCTACGAGTGACCCCTGTCTGAGAACCCAGTAAGGTGAAGAGGCCTGAGGACAGTTGCCCACAACATTAAGCAAAAAGTCAAGTTAATGTGACTGCTGAGAACCACAAACCTGGTTTTTCACTGCAGAGTAGAAAGGAAGGGAAAGGAGTTGCTGTTTCCCATGAGCGAGGGCGTGATCACATGGTCTCAGGTGCTTCTTCAAGAAAACCATAAGAAGCAAAGAATTGAGCTGCTTTCTTCCCCTCTGCAGTGGTCGCAGGGGTTCGTGAGCTGGGGTGCGAGCTTCCACACGGGCTGCATTTATTTGCATCACCTGAAGGAACAGCCGCACACCTCCAGCTCAGGGTCCTTTGTGGGACAGAAGACAGACTGAGGGAGGTTTAAGCTCCATGCTTTGGTCGCGCTGCATTGTCACTTTGTGGGTCTGGGAGCAAGTTGAAGAATGGGGGTTAAGTTGCAGGGGGTGATCTGTGGCCGGGTTTGAGTGATCTGACACAGTGTTTAGGCTTTTCATGATAATTTGACTGTTTTGCTGGGACTTATTTTCAGTGTTACATAATTGAGTTCCTGTTATAAATACGGATGAGCAGATTGAGCTATTTCAGTAATTGCTAAAATTCCTCAGGTTGCCTTGGGGTTGCTTCCTCTGCTTGGGAGGACAATTGCCCCGTGGCTTTGACTTACTGGGCTGCTTCCTGTCTTCTCCCTGGCAAGGGCAGGTGTGTGGCTGGGTAGCAGCTGTAAACAGTGGAAACTTTCCATTAGTGGCTCAACGAAAAAACTGGCTCTGAAAGAACCGCCTTTGTTGCGGCCGTGTCCTGTGGGAGGGGTGCTCCCTGGAGCACGGGGGTGCTGACCTCCCAGCTGAGGCTGCAGTGTCCAGGGCTAGGACATAGGGCGCTGCTTTGTATCCTATATGTACCCAGCAAAGGCCACAGACAGGAGGGTTGTTTGCTAGTGTGTGGCTGGCGAGGTGTTCTCTGCAGCGCTTCCTGTGAACTGGAATCGTCGTCACAGGACGTTAATTAGCAGAGAACACATGGCGGGGCCAGCCTCAGCCCTTTGATCTTAACGGGGCACTTGAAGAAACCTAAGCCCAGAGAGGAGTGTTGAGTTTACCAGCATCAGGCAGTAATTAGAACTTGTCTCTGTTCCTTGCCCATTTCGTTTGTACCTAGGTGCTGCCCACTTGCTTGCTTTGGATGAGCCTGGGCAGCATGGTGGAGATCGGCAGCTTCTCCCATGACCAGTTTCCTTTTAGAATTTAATTTGGAATTTTGATTCATAATTTAGCTACTTCTTTTTGATTAATAGGCTGTACCAGTGCAGGTCCTCACTTTAATCCTCATTCCAAAAAGCACGGTGGGCCAAAGGATTCAGAGAGGTGAGTGACAGCCTGCTCAGCTCCCACTGAAGTGATGGCAGTGTCTTCTGGGGGTCACTGTTCACTGCGCTGCCTGTACATTGCACATGGGATAATTGGGTGATCTGCCCCACCTCTACCCCGCCCTCCTCCCCTCCAGCAGAAACCCTGCCCCCAGGTGCTGACTCATGGGCTAAGGAATTGACACATGGGGACACTGAATACGCAGTTTGCTTTTGTAGCCTTTATTGAGTAAAGAACTAATACAAGTGCCAAAGGGAACTCACACGGTACATGTCAGGAGTAACAGTGCTTGCAGAATAAACCATTGGGAAACACAGGAGGCTTTGTAGATCATTTGATAGTGAAAATTCCGTGAGACTCCATTTGTGTTCTCTTGAGTCTTTCAGGAAAATACTAATTTTAAGGACAAGGATTCATTTATTGTAACAGAGGCCTAAGGCATAGCTTTCTTAGCCAGGCCCAAAATGAACAGGATAACCCAGTCACTAGCCTTTGACCAGTTGGTACTGTTCACCCCTCGAAGTGGCGGTGTGCCCCCTGCCACAACTCCCCAGCACACTGCTGTTGACTGGAAGCCGGTGAAGAGTTGTGTCTAGAATGTCTAATTCTTGTTTCCAAAACGTTGTCCACCTGGCAGAGTGGGTCCCATGGATAAATGCTCTATCAGTCTCTTATTAAGCCGCCCTGTTTGTCTGACTCAGTTTGTCATTTAGCTCCTGAAGTCTCTTGATGTTAAGTGAGACAGAGCTCAGTCCTAATTCCTCTGATGCTTTTTTCGTGTAAGGCATGTTGGAGACCTGGGCAATGTGACTGCTGGCAAAGACGGCAAGGCCACGGTGTTTATCCAGGATTCTATGATCTCTCTCTCAGGAGAGCATTCCATCATTGGCCGCACGATGGTGGTAAGTTTTTCTGGAAGAACTTGCGTAAATTTCTTCTGTCTCAGTCATGTTGTCACTTCATGATTTCATGATTGTTTATCCTGGTTTCTTAGGATCCACATATGTTGCACTTTTCACTTCTGCTTAGGAGAAGCTGTTATTTTATTAGATGATTACAGTGAAGATGAGTGAATTATGTGGGTCACTTAAGAACACTGTTCTCAGATGCCGTAATAAAGCAGCTAATATCTGATCATTTTAGACCTGCATGATAGAAATAATGTGTAATCTTTATCTAGTTTTAGAACAGGTGTCCCCCATGTCATTAAACAGTATTTTGAAGTCTGAAATCTGGCACGGACCTCATTATTAACATTCGTTCACGTCTGCAGGGTAGTATCCTTTCCCACGTGGGGAGCTGTGGCCTCAGCTTGGAGCTGTATCTGATCCGTGCAGAATGCCAGTAACGTGGGCTCTCGCCTACCTCAGAGGACAGTTCATATTCGGCAGTCACTTGGAGCTGACCCTTAGTCTTACTTTTCTTCAGCCATAGGTGTAGAGCAGAAAAATCATTTATCAGTGTTTGTAGAACAAAATTGAAAATGTTGTTTAAAGAATTTAGGTATTTTTAGATTGCCTCTTATCTGTAGCTTTATCACTTCCCCAATGCAACTTAACTGTCCAAGAATGACTATTATAACAGGGGGTAGGGGGTACTGACATTCTCACAGATGAAGACCAGATAGTGCGTTGAGAGGGGCCAACGCTTACCTGGCATTAAAAAGCGATTTGTGGTTTTACATCGAGGAAAACCTCTAAGTAGTAGTTTCTGGTTTTCACTACTGAATACTAGTCTATTTCCCTGTGGGCTTAGTCTCACATGTCATTTTAAATGGTTAGTAAGTCATTTGGGTATTGTTGGGAAGAGGGGGTCACTAGCTGATGGCCCTAAGTTGTATGTTCTTACCATTTTTTAAAGGTCCATGAAAAACAAGATGACTTGGGCAAAGGTGGCAACGAAGAAAGTACAAAGACAGGAAATGCTGGAAGTCGTTTGGCTTGCGGTGTCATTGGCATCACCCAATAAACATTCCCTGGGATGTGGTTTGTGTCCTAGTAACTCATGTTATCTTGGTAGTTGTAGAAATTTAACTTGAACATTAAACACTGTAATCTCAAACATGTGATTTGTGTGACTTTTAATTGCTCTAAGTACTTGTAATGAGAACTGATTTAATCTCTTGGAAGATCTGTATAGTCTTATAAAACTCATTCAAAGTGTGTTTCAGTGATCTCTGTACTTTGCCAGACTTAATCACATACTACCCATATTGCTCTTCTGTCTGAATTGCTTCAGTTCTCATTCAGGTCTACAATAAACATGTCCCTATATAGGACTGTAGCGTGAACCTAGTGAAATGATAGATGAGCAGATACTCGCAGAGCTTGAATGGAACAGATGCAGTTACGTTGATAGGTGTTAGCTATCAAAGAGCTCTCATTTGAAAGCTTTAAATAAGGTAATCAAAATTTGTTTAAATTTTTAACAGCTAAGGTAAAAAATAGGGTCTCCTTTAGGGAAATTAATGTGGTTGCCTGCTTGCTTACTTAAGTAGATGTCCTCGTTTGAGAGCCCACTGGTTAACTTTTAAATTGTGAATGGCAAATGAGCTAAGAATGATGAATACACCTATCTTTGAAAATGGCACCTACTCCACTTTGGTGGACCTGTGAACCTTCAGTTTGTAATCTGAGTAGAGGCTGGCACAATCTTTGAGATTGGCTCATTAAAAAAAATACAGTATTGTGACATGGAACTGAGGAAATGCTTGTGGGTTGTTTGTAAGAATTTATGCCCCCAATCAGTGAATTCAGTCCTAGTTTCCTTAATGCAAATATGTACGTAGGTAACAGAATGCTTTCACATGACATAGTAAGCTAACTCAGGGTTGGCTGTGTGGATTACAGTTTATTGAAAATGGTAGAATGTCATTTCTGCTAGAAACCTGAAATAGATGACAATTCTGATCATATAAATATATGCTTTACTTTTATATAGAAGATTACTTAGGAAAAGTTAATTTGGAAAGACAATTTGCAGTGTTTTTCTAAATCGGTGATAAAGAACAGTATGCTCACAAGTGGCTAAAACCCCTGTTAGGTGGAGAATCTAAAAACAAACAGTATTTAACAGATTCCACTGATGTACAGTTGGTTACATATGCGAGTGACTCTCACAGGAACTCCTCGTGACCTGAAAAGCTGCAAGTGTCATTACTGTCCCTTAGTACTTTGGGGGTTTCGCGTTACACAAAATAGCGTGGTCTAAATACTTTCGACTAGAAATAGGGGCTGCAGGTCTTTGAAATCTGAACATTAAATCAATGTATTATTTCTTAACAGAAGCAGCTTCTATTTGGGGTTTTATGGGCCAACATAAAATTAAGGCTAAGGTTTATCATTCACGTCTGCAGACATGAATCAGGATTTTATCTCCTAAAGGCAGGAACACCATTCCCTTCAAGACTCTCCCCGTCAAAGACCTTGCTGCAGCGTACTGTTTCAAAACCGAAGCAATAAAGCAGCTTCACCTGGGGATGAGGGCAAGGAAAAGGCTAAGTACTCAGCACGCTGAAACTAGGACAGTTAAAAAAAGTAAGAAGAAAAAAAGTTCCAGAAGGGCATGAATGGTCGGGATAAGTAATGGCGGTTCTCTTGGCACCGGGCACGCAGCTTCATGTAGCTGCTTTCCTATTTTTAGATACAGGTTTGGCTTTGGATGTCTCCAGGTCATCAGCAACTATTTTTCCTAATTACTCCAACAGTTTTCAGCAAAAGATGAGGTACTTTATACGTGGCCAAAAGTTAAGTATACCTTTGCCAAGCAGGGGAGCTTGGAAACCGTCAAGATGGGCAACAGGCAAGGCTGACAGGAAGCAACAGGTTGCATTTAAGCCCTTAAACATACAAGACAAAAAAGCTTTCCAGGCTGCAAATGTTACTCAGTTTCTTTAACCCTTTCAAAAAATTTAATGCGACAGTGAAAACACCCCATCTTCTAAATACCCAGGCAGTCAGCTTATAGCACAGCGGGGAAGGGGAGGCCCCACTGCCCCAGCAAAGTTCCTCTTTACACACTTAATTCAGGTACATTTACCACAAAGCCAAAGGCAGGGAAAAAACCTTGATTCAACGCAGAACAAGTTTTTCAATTATATTAAAACAACTAACCTTTACCTTATGATTGAAATGCTAAAGAGCAAAGTATTACAAATAAAAGTGTTCGAGAACAACTACATAAAGATGTCTCTTTCCATCAAATAAACAAGTCTAATTTAGACTCTAGTATTAACAGTTCAAACTTTGATGGTGACCAATCCTTTTCCACCTTAATGCAGTGTAGGAAGAATAGCACACATTAAAGTTTGTTACGAAAATAGAGTTTATTAAAAACATCCCTATTGTTTTGAGGAGCTTTCACCGTTACCTTGTCTTAAATTAAAAAAAAAAAAAAATAGAGAGCACTTCTAATTACGATTTGTAAACTTTTTAAAGTCAAAACTTTTAAAAAGTTACAGCAAAAAGGGTAATATTTATTCATATTTCGGTATTTTTTGTTATTTTGTGGCTATTTTTAAATAGAAGGGAAGCAATCAAATTGCTTACAATGCCCCACCAACTACCGGGGGGCTGTGATATAGCAGGAGCAGATATAATACAGCATCTGTACACCTCACGCTCTACACGCCAGGAAGTGTCACGTCACGTGTGGACAAATCCAGTCTCTAACGAGGAGCCTCTGCTGCTGAGCCAGAATCCTTCTCGGGTTCAACGGATGAGGTAGCCTCAGCAGGTGACTCTTCGGGAGGTTTCACCACTGCAGGCTCAGACTCCCCCTTCTCAAGTTCTGAAACAGCGTCTACGGTTCCCGCTTGGCTAATGGGAGGTTCAATGGTTTTGTTACCACCTGCCCTGTCTGTCACCTCGGGCTTTTCCTTCCCTCGGTTTTCTTCCTTCTCTCTACGAGACTCTCTATCTCTAGAATCTCTCTCTCTGTCTCGATGCCCACTAGAGCGTCTGTTTCTCTCTTCCAAGTCTCTGTGCCTGTCCCGGTCAGGGCTCCTCCTTCCCCACTCTCGCCTTTCACGGGTACTAGTATCTCTGTCATCGTTACGGTTCCCATACCGCTCCCGGTCATTTTCCACCCTATTTCCGAAGGATCTTCTTCCAAACCTTTCTTGGTCTCTACCTGAATTGAACTGCTGCCTGTTATCATTTCTAAACGGCTGTGGTGGCTGCTGAGTTGGTGGCGGCTGCTGAGTTGGCGGCGGCTGCTGTGATTGTGGCTGTGGTGGCGGCGGCTGCTGCTGCTGCTGGGGCTGCTGCTGCCTTCCGTCTCTGTCTTCCGGACCTCCTGGGCCTGGCCCTGGGCCCCCCAGCCCTGGCATTCCACCGGGCCTAACAAAGGGGCCGTGTGGTGGAAAGGGACCTTTCATTCCATGAGGTGGAGGCATCCCAAAGCCCCCCGGTCCTGGTGGTGGCCCTCTATGCATCATATGTGGTGGCATGGGACGAGGTGGCATCAGAGGAAATCGCTGTAAATGAGGTGGAGGCATGCCTGGAGGGCGCTGGAGTGGGATCAGGCCAGGGCGGGCACCGAGAAGACCAGTGGACGGTGCTTGGAGCCCAATTACAGGACCAGGTGCAACTCCTTGAGTACCTAAAAGGCAATAAAAAATAAGTAAAATAAGATGAAAGAATGCATCCTATTTTCAACTGTTTCCTGAGCTTGCGGCGAAATGACATTCCTTCTAGAATACTCATTCTTATCATTTGCCAGTGTATATGGGAGAAAAATCAACATGAGGGCCCAGTAACAACCTGTGGCAAATTCTTAAAGGACATTATGTACTATGGATATTATTCGGGTGTATATTAATATGGAGGTAGAGGTCAAAGTAAGCTGAAAAAGAAAACCATAATTTACCAACTTCTGGAAAGCCTATGTCAAAATTTCCAGTTGCCTTTAGTAGTAGCAGCTTTACCACTCAAGATACTTAAGACAGTTGAGAAACAATGTGCTAAGTCCTAATGACATAAAGGACTGAAGGTTACTTCAGGTGTACTTTTAGAGAAGTTTACACTCTTTTAAGCTTTTAAAAGGATTTATTTATTTATTTATGCATACAAGAGCTGGGGTGTAGGCCAGAGGTGTGAGGGGTGAGAGGATTCACCAGAGACAGAGTGGGGAACAGAACAGGCAGATCTACTGAAACACACTGCTGAGCGAGCAGCGGGCGAGACAGGAGAGGTCTGCTGCACTATGTGGGTAGCTCCCTGGCTGGGATCGAACTTGCGCTACAGTGGCTGCCAATAGCATAGTGCTGAGGCTTATCCCCTTGCACCACCAGGGAGTCCCTACGCTCTTTAAGTTTTTTTTTTTTTTTTTAAGATTTATTTATTCATACAAGCACTGGGTACAGTCAGAAGCACGGGAGGGTGAGAGAATTCACCAGAGCTAGAGCGGAGAACAGAACAGACAGACTGACGAAGAAGTACACTGCTGAGGGGAGCCGCGGGCACAGCGGGAGAGGTCTCCTGAGCCATGTGGGACCCTCTCCTGGCAGCCGGGGATCGAACTGGCGCTGGCAGAGGCTGCAGGCTGCTTCACAACCCAGTGCTCAACTGCTGCGCCACCAGGGAGGCCCCGCTCTTTAAGTTTTAACTCAACTTCATACTAAAAAAATTGGGGTCAGTGACCCAAACCATCCAGTAGAGGAAGGCCTGCGTTTGTGTCATTAAAATGCCTAGTGTGGGTGTTATGTGGTGAGCATCACTGGAACACGGAGGCAGGGTCCATTTTCACAGGTCCCGTTTCAAAGCATGGCACAAGCCCCAAGGACCTTCTAGCCACTCTTCCAACAGCAGCAAGCCTGTCAAAGTTGGTGCTGTTGGAAGTGACAGACCTTCTGATCTTACTCCCCATTTACAGGCAGGTTGGTTCGTGTTCTGGTGTCAGAGTCATCACATACTTACCAACCTGTCACTTAGAACTGTATGGTAAAAGAGAAATTTCTGTGTTTCACCACTTAACAGAAAGGCCGTGTCACATCTCCATTTGTTTCCTTATAAACATCATAAGGCAAACGTGATCAATAGGAGTTACTCTAATAACAGACAACCTTCCAAGGTGTTTACCTCAACTTTTGCTCC